CAACAAACTAACCTGCTCTTCCATTTGGATTTATCTACCTCTTGAGGAAACAAACATCTAGAAATCATTTCATATGATGCAGTATTTTGTGGATCTAAAGACTAGAACAGCCATAATACAAGATGCTCTGATTTCTCTCCATGGAGTGCCCTGTGCTCTGAGATTCTGGGAACAGCAGTTACGGCTGTAGCTGTGCTCTAGCGGCATGACCATACCTGCCCTCATTCCTCACCTTCACTCCCTTCCTGGGCACCCGCTGGTAGTCCCGCTCAACCTTCTTCCTGGCTTCTAAGTAGAGGCTGTGTCCCCCAGGAACAGAGAAGGCTCCACGAGAGATGCTCTCCATCAGGGTCTTTGAAAGCTTCTCTAGCTCAGCCTGGCAGTGACTGAGAGACGCTGCTTCGTTCTGTTGCATAAAAGCTTTCTTCCTTTCCTCTATGGTGGCCTGCCGGGTGAGTAGGGGAAGACAAGACAAGTAGGCTGTTAGAAGGAAGGTGCCATTGTGATCATCCTGCTTGATCCCCTGTGACAGCCCCAGAGTGGACTGGGACAGGAAGAGGATCAGGGGACATCCTTTATCGCTGCTGTGGTCAACTATGAGTGACTTCTAACTCTCTTGGCCTCAAGCTCAATAGCTACGAAAGTGAGGTGAGAGTGGGCATGAAATCCAAATTCTTCCAGTCTCTAGGATGAAAGAGTTCCCACAGACCAATAATGAGTACAAAGGTCAACCAGGAGGGGGTACAGCTTCCTCGGGGAACGTGTTTGGTGTGGGTGAGAATATCTGCACACAAATCCACCTGTCAGTTCTGAGATGCTTCATCATGGATAGAGTGGTGAGTGCCTCATGGGTCCTTCAAAGAGAGTGAAGGGTGTGAAGTTAGAGGATGAAAATGTTAAAGTGGATACTTGTAAGCTACAAATGGACACTTTTCTTCAGTATGAAATAATGCATTTTTTCACTTGTAAGATGGTAATAGAAAGACTGAAAGACAGACTTTCAGTGACATTACCTCTCATTAGAATTAAGAGGAAGACACTAGAGTTCTTTTCTTTGGTGTCTTTGTACCATAGCATCCCCCAAAACAATGGTTCCCATCCTCGTAATACTGTGATCCTTTAATACAGTTTCTTATGCTGTGGTGACCCTTAACCATAGAGTTATTTTTTGTTGCTCCTTCATAACTGCAATTTTGCTACTGTTATGAATAGTAATATGAATATCTGATGTGCAGATATGTAATAGGCAACCCCTGTGAAAGGGCTGTTTACCCCCCGACGGTGTCTTACCACACAGGTTGAGAATCAGTGCCATTAAATAACATCAGTGCCATATGTTCATTGTCTCGTAAACTCTTCCTGACTTGAAGGCATGGAGCTTATTTAATTACAGTGGTCCTTTAAGATCAGTTTCTATAACTGATTGTAGATAAGGTAAACCAGAGAGATGAGAGACAAGGAAAAATACTATATCTGAGTTCTGGAAAGTGAGGAAGAACTTTTGAAAGCAAGGAAGAAATCTGTGTGAGTTATTCTAGAAAACAAGAAAGAACTCTGCGTGGAAACCTGTTATTTCCTTGGATTCAGGTTCATAGCACACAAGAGGGTTTAGTGGCAGTGGACTCTGTTGCTGTTGGCTCACTAAGATGCAGTCTTCTGTGCATCCATAATGAGTTCAAAATACAATTATCCTGGACACAGCTTCTTTGGAAAATGTGCCTTGGGTGTGTGTGTGTGTGTGTGTGTGTGTGTGTGTGTGTGTGTGTGAAAATATCTGCACCTTAAATCCACCTCTCAGTTCTGAGTGGGTTTCCGGTAAGCATAGAATTCAGCGCTTCATGAATTCTTTTAGTGAGAGTGGTGGGTGTGAAGTCAGGTGACCTCACTGTTTTAAAGTTCACATCCATATATACATTATTACAATTTATATACATGAATTACAATTTAGCTGTTTCGCTTTCTATGGATTATGACAGCATCCTTGGTCATCACTCTGGTGCTGCATCTCTGATCATCATGCTACTCCCACAGAAGCTTCCTCACTCAGCATCTACATCATGCATCACTCTAGAATAAGATGCATATTAACCCTGTGACAATATCAGCACAGACAATATTACAGCACAGACTGACTTCCATAAATGGGGCTTACTGACCAAGGAGGACAGTCATAACCTACAGAGCTTCAGTGTGTTGACTCCCTGAAACAGACGTGAACACATTAGGTTATAGTGACATTATAGAGAAATCACAACTGGTCAGCTCTGAGACAGACAGATATCATATCACTGTCTGGAAAACTGATGTAGAAGTAAATATTTTACATGTTTTTCATGTTTAAACTTTGTCAGATGGTAAAATAAAAAAAAAAAAAAGATGGTTACTTAGCCATAGGAACCTCCCAACATCACTTTTCTACAGTTGATTACAGACAAGGAAAACCACGGAGATGAGAAACAAGGAAAGGACAGAATGCCAGATGGCACGCTAAAGACAGAGGAGATTGTCAGGGCCTCTAGACAAGAGGCAGGATTTAAGGTTGGGATGCACTGAGCAGAGGCACGTTACACCCAGTGCTATACCTGACTTGAGGAACTGCGACTTACAAATATATGTTATTAAAGACCCAAAGCACATCCCAACTTATTCTAGAGCAATGAACATGAAGTTGGGCTAGAGAGATGGCTCAGTAGTCAAGGGCAGTGACTGCTCTTCCAACAGACCAAGTCCCCAGCACCCACATGGCAGCTCACAACCAGCTTTAATTCCACATACAAGAGATCCAATGCACCCTTCTAGCCTTCATGGGCACTGCCTACCTATGGTACCAAGACACACAATAGCAACACACACAGTTTTTAAAGAATTATTGAAAACAAAAAGCATCTAACAGAGAAAAGGGTAGAATTGTGCTAAAGAACCCATTACCCATAAGAACTCGGGCACCTTCCACGATAAGAAGGATGCTACTTAGAATCAAAATGCAGTCAGAGTCATATGGCAGAAGAGCAGGCATCAGCAGCAATTAGGATAAGGTATATCACCACAAGCTTCTTCTGGAAGGTCCACTGGTCGTCCTTGAAGGAGTGCTCCATGAAGACAGCGATGGCTTCCTTCTCGCAGGCTGTGTGCACATTCAGCAGCTCCCGGAGCGTGTCCGTGGGGAGCCTCACTCGCTGGGCCATCTGCTCACTGTAGTGGTCAGCTGCCTTCTGCACAGCTATGGAGTTCTCACGCTCAGCCAGGGTCCTCACTGCATTCTCCAAGCAAGGTACTGCCCCGCTGTTGATGGCGTCCACGTAGGTCTGCACCAGAGTCCCCAGTCCTAACCAGACATCATGTTTAGGACACACTGGAAATTTTTCACTCCCTATTTTACACAATGTGGTGGCCTACATTCTCAAAAACCCCATCACACTGAAAACAAACTTCTCTCCCCTCCCCCCTCATTGTCCTCCTTGTCCCTATCTTCTTCCCACTTTTATGAACCCATTTTCATGTAAAAATCACAACTGTTTTTCCTAGTCATTTTGTTTCATTATTCTTCACCAGAATGCAAAAATTAAATCCATGTCTAAAGCAGTGTGTTCAAAGAATTCCTAGAACACTGTCCCATCAAAACGAACGGAGTGCCTCTTACACTAATAAATGCTTTATTTTCTGAGCTCCATTTGCTAACAGTAATGTAGAGCCATTGTCCAGAAGGTCAGGGGTTTCAAGGCTGTGCGACAGAGGTTAGCGCAGGCTACTGCAGAGGTCCCATGTCCACAAAGCCAGCTTCGTACAGAAGGTTACATTCAAATGGTTTCTCCTCATTCATTAACCATGCACAGCACTCATGGCTTGCTGTTTCTATTATTCTTGTAAATTAACTAAAATCTTTGGTTGTGTGAAGTGAAGGACTGTGCTACTGGGGATTGAACCTACAACCCGATATGACACGCACAGCTCTGTTTTGTATCTATC